TTTCCTTTATATTATATTATTTGTTAACTGAGGAGATATTAATAGCACTAACTAAAAGTTTCATAGATTAGGCTTTCGGTAATGCAAATCTTGATCACTTATTCGGTTTGCCTTTGAAATTACATGTTATACACACAAATGTGTATGTATATATATATAGAAGGTTATATCAAGAAATAGTCAATCAATCAAGTTCCCCCATTCTCATATTCAGGCAGCCTCTTCAATCTTCATCTTGTGCACAATATGGCAGCTTCATCCAATAATATTCAGGCTTTTCTGGCAATTCTTTTGCTTCTGCTACCCATGGCAGCAAAAGGAGATGGTATTTTCCATTCTTTTGTCGTTACTCGATTCTTTTCTCTTAAATGAATGATCCTACTATATGTACATAATATATGTATTGATGATTAGTGTTTTATAGTTTCAGATGATATGTGTGAAGTAGTGCAATGTGGAAGGGGAAGTTGCGAGTCAAATCCCAACGTCCCTTTTAACTTCTCATGCAACTGCCAAGATGGTTGGAGACAAACACGTCTTAATGACGAACTAAATCTTGAATTCCTTCCATGCCTCATTCCGGAATGTAATTTCTTAACCTTACTCCATAGCGTTTCCCAATAGTGATTGTAAAATTTATCCGAAACCCACATAAGAAAGCCTTTATGTTTCACATACATATTGAATAACAAGAAAGTTCGAGTAACTTGATGTATCAATATATAAAAATAGACGGATCGTTAGGCTCTCGTGTAAATTTCGAGTTCTAGAAACACAAAACTGACACAATAAACAGAATATTACAACCTTAGCACTAAAAATTATAAGTTGGATCTTGCTACATGTACATCAGTAGTTATATATGTGTTACATAGCACTCGATTATTTGTCAATTTAAAACGCAATTAATTTTTTTCACTCATTTTTTCCTCCACATCATATTAGTAACCCCTTATGTATAATTTTGATATACAAGCAGCAAAATCCTTATAATAAGTTATTTGTTTGGTTAATAATTTTCATGCATTGATTTGCAGGCTCTCTTGACTACTCATGCATGCCATCTGCGCCACCACCTCCACCGTTTCCCAACAATTCATCTTTATCTAACCGTAATTTGCTTAACTTGACCCGCTATTCATCTTCAAATCGGGTCTATCTGAGACCCAAATCTCCCTAAACGGGTGGAATTATTTTTTGATTTAACTAAGGATTAGTTTCATGTTAAATACTATTAATTTCAAATATCTATGTCGGAATTATTGTTCAGCATGTGATTATATCTACTGCGGAGAAGGCACTTGCGAGAGGGATTCAACTTATACGTACAAATGCCAGTGCAATTACGGTCATTATAATTTGTTCAATATCTCGGCTTTTCCGTGTTATAGCGATTGTAAGTTTATATAAATCCTGAAATATATATGTGTATATATATATATATATATATAGTATTTTCATAAATCTAGCTAATTGAAATTAATTATTTTATTCGTCGATAGGTGCCCTTGGATCGGATTGCGAAAGGCTAGGAATTCCGGTCTCTCGCACCACTACGAACCCATATGTTAACAATAATTATGGTAATCAAGGTGAGTTATCCTAGATTAGCATAAAGTCGAGAAGACAAAATTTAAATTTTTAGACAAGATGTTACGTGCAGGTATGTGCAGATATTAACATTAAGTGCTTGTTTGGTACATAAATTAAGTCAATTAAAATCAATTTTTTGACCGTTATTTTACCATTTCAGTCGTCATTTTTGAATTCTTCTCTCACAGATATGACTCACTTTATCTCTAATGGTCAAAAAATCAATTACCAAAATCATTACCAAACAAGCACTAAGTCTCTACCTTTTATAAGATTAAAACTTCTTCATATTTCTATTGGAAAATTCCTGGTTTGACAAAACATGTACAGTATGTGCTTCATGCATTCTCAGTATTGTTCATATAGGAATGAATACACATTTTTGAATTTGTTAGTTTGCAATCAATTCATTTAACAGTTTAAACTATCAATTTATATTTCTTGATATAATGTGTGGAATAAATTTACATTTTTTATTAAAAAATGGATGCTTGTAAATTTTAATTCAAGACTTGCCTGTTTAGATTTTAAGTTGAATTATTTCATTTGATAGTTTAAATATTTTAAAAATAATGATTTATCAAAATTTAACTCTAATACTATTTGTCCATTTAATTATTGGCAGGTACATCGTTTTTGCCAAGAAAAATGCACTGGGTGGTGATTTCGCTTATATCCATCGTTATGTCCCTTTGGAAATAGCCATTTCAAATTACTTATCTAATAAATATTCAAAGTTATATATAACGTGTGGGACATTGATCAAACTACTTCATAAATGCACGTGTACAAAAGTTTGATTGTATAAATAATACTAAGTACATGGTTTTGTATAATAAGTATTTGTAAAATTTAAATGTGTTTGTTGAGTCTATTTTAAATTATTTCAAATGTTAAGTTCAGTACATTAGGAATCACAATTTGACGGGAGAGAGAAAAGTCATGGGAAGAATTCTAGGAAGAATATGCATTTAAAAACAATATTTTATCACGAAGTTGAGAAAAATTATGGACTTGTGTCAATCTTGAATATTTTGACGAGGTTGAATATTTAAAGGATTAAAAATAATTGGAGAAGAACTGAAAAGAATATTGATAATACGTTTTCAGTCCAATGTTTTTTAATAAACATGAACTATTTTAAAGGAATTGAGTAATTTTCTGGAGGTAGTTCAAATCATAATAATAAAAAATTTACACTATACTATTATACTAACTCTTGGCACACATGATGCGCGCATCGTACTATTTAAATATGCGTTGATTGTTTTATAAATACTATATAAGAACATAAACATATTGGATCACCCAACCTACTAATAAAATATATTAATAACAAAAAAAGCATTAATTCCAAAAATAGGTCATACATCACAAGTGCATTAAGCCTCATCCAAACATCACAAGGTAAGCTCAAGAAATAAAAGGAAAGTAAATGGTCTTCCTTAAAAAGATTGTACAAGAACAGGAAATTATAGTGAAATCAATATGCAAATTAAAACATTAAAAACCACAAATATTCATTTAGATCTTAGAGTAACTCAATATATGACAGTCAAACAAATAAATTTGTTAATAATTATTTATACTTATCCCCAAAAAACTTTATAGGTTTGGCTCCCCTTAAACCCTAGGCTCTTCGACAGTTTGATGTTGGAGGAAGTGTTGATGGCAATTCGAAATCTTGTTTGGTGGAGAAAAATAAGGTGAATTTGCCCTCACCGAGTGTATCAGTAACACTTGGTGAAGATGACACAAAATCTGAAAAATCTGATGTTGAGTCGCATAAAGTGGAATTGAATAACCGGAATAATGAAAATGGTGCTGGGATTAAGGGTGCGCAAGACACTAGAGCTTCATGAGTAAACCACTTCAAAGATAATAGGAAAATGGAGGAAAACATTAAGTTGAAAGCCTTTGATATTCAATCGGAAGAAGTGGTTTTGGGTGAATCAGATGAAGACAATATTGAAAACTCCTGGGGATATGGTTTTGTTGGATATCTTGCCAATAGGTTTCCCGAAAAAATGGCCTTACTCCAATTATGTGATTTGTGGAAAGTTGAGCGTAGATATTATGTGCACTCGAGTGGTTGTTTGGTGTTTAAATTTAAGACGGATGTGGAAAGGCTAAATGTGTCGCATGGGGGTCCCTAATTGGTATATGGGAGACCATTAATGTTGAAAGTCATGCCCTACTATTTTGATTTTGATGACAAAGATGTTAGCACCATGCCGGTTTGGATTACCTTACCGAGGTTGCCATTGGAGTTTTGGAACACGAATGTCTTGGGTAAGATTATTTTCAAAGTTGGTAAACTCATCTCGACCGATAAGGTCACGGCATCAAGAGGTAGACTATCCTATGCAAGAGCCCTAGTTGAAATCGACACATCTATCGAGCTTGTGTGGGTGGTAAAGATAAGACTACCTAATGGTATTTTGAGGGAACAAGAAACTCTTTTCGAGCATGAACCAAAATTTTGTGGTTCTTGCAAAGTGTTTGGGCATTCCACCCTTGGTTGCAACTACAAAAAACAGCCCGCAGGGGATAAAGGTAAGGCCATAAATGGCGAGAAACCTACTACCTCCATGCCGGTTGCACATGGGAAAAACGTGCATGCTGGGAAGACTTTGGCAGCTCCAAATTTACAGCATTTTTCAGCTAAAAGAGCTTGTGTTTCGGCCAGGAATGAAAGCCAGCAGCTTAGGGTGTTAAATGGCCAGTAGGGGCAGCCTATTACTTAAAATTGTGCACAGCTACATGATGATTCTGTGGACTGCCAGCAAAACCAGGTTCAGGACCAGATTGACGCTGCTTTGTTGAGGTTGTCAGCAGGAAAAATGGGAAAAATTCAGCCCATATCAACCCTTCACATGTGTCCGCATGTGATAGCGTCAAAGGGATAATTCGGGGCCAGATTCTTCATCAAATATTAGAGGGGCAGAGTCAAATAAATCTAGTAATGAAAAGCTTAAAGGAAAGGTCGATGAGCAAAGGAAAGCGGGAACTAAAATTGACAAGAAGAAGGGAACATCCCTTGCTTCAAAATCATGAAGATTGCAACTTGGAATATTAGGGGCTTGAATCCCCCCTCAAATAAAATGGGATTCGAGACTTCATCAAGCGACATTGCATTGATGTTATGGGTATTTTGGAGACAAAGCTTGGAGATCGAAAGTTGAACCGAGTTATGCGAAATAAATTCGATGTGTTTATGCAAGTCAACAATTTTTGTACTCATAGAGTCAGCCGAATCTTGGTTTTATGGAGTCCATCCAAAGTCAAGTTGGAAGTTTTGGAGATGACCCCACAAATTATCCATTGTATTGCTACTTACAAGGTAACATCTTATACCTTTCTTGTTAGTTTTGTTTATGATTTTCATACAATTGTTAGCCGGAGGCCACTTTGGAACAACATCATGGACCTTCGTGCAAATGTTTCATTGCCTTGGATGATTCTTGGTGATTTCAACAATGTGCCAAAATTTGATGAGAAAAGCAATGGGGCGGAAGTAACTCCTTATGAAATTAAAGATTTTGCTAATTATTGCCTTCATGTTGATCTTACGGATGTGCATTCCATTGGTTGTCTTTACACGTGGACTAATAATTCGACTTGCAGCAAAATTGATAGGGCCACGGTGAATGATATTTGGGTGCAAAATGGTGCATATGTCTTTGCTGATTTTTTGCTTTTCGGGTGCCTTTCTGACCATTCTTCATGCATCGTGCCTATTCATGATCGTATGGTGAATACTAGAAAATCATTTAAATTCTTTAACATGTGGACAAAGCACGAGGATTTCCATGATATTGTTCGAGCTAGCTGGAATTTTAATGTGTTGGGAGCAAAGCAATTTATTCTTTGTAAGAAGTTGTGCAAATTAAAAGGAGCATTGAAGGAGCTTAATGTTAAGCACTTTGGGCACATTTCTACTCGGGCAAATGAGGCTAAAAGTGAATTGGAGGCTACCCAACTTATACTTCATGATCAACCTAAGATTGAGCATTATCAACTTATGGTGGCAAGATTGCGAAAGAAAGCAGTGGGCTTATATGAAGCCGAACGAAGCTTTTATTATCAACAAGCTAAGTGATAAATGTACAAAAAATTTTCACGCGATCGTGAAAAGGAACACAAGGAGAAATTTTATTGCTACTATTCTTAAGGAGGATGGGATGTATACTACTTCACAAGACCAAGTTGCTTTGAAATTTGTCATATTTTATACTAACTTGCTGGGGAAAAAAGAGCCGATGGGGCCGATTGACATGGACATTATTCGCAATGGGCCTTTGGTATCTTTGGAATGGGGTAACTCATTAATTCGGGACATTTCTTATGATGAGATCAAAGAAGCTCTATTTGGGATTGGAGATGATAAATCCCCCGGTCCGGATGGTTGCACTTCATTTTTTTTTTCCAAAAAGGCATAGGGGTCTATTGAACATGATTTTGTGGAGGCCATCATGGAATTCTTCTCATCAGGATCTATCCTCAAGCAAATCAACCACGCGATCATTGCTTTGGTGCCAAAATCAAATCACACACCTAGTGTTGGGGATTATAGGCCTATATCTTGTTGCAATGTTATCTATAAATGGATCACTAAAATCCTTAGTTCTAGATTGAGGCCTATCTTGGGGAACATTATGGATCAAGCACAAGCCGCTTTTATTGAAGGTAGGAGTATGACGGAAAATATTCATCTTGCCCAAAAACTCATGAGACAATATAATAAAAAGAGAGTAGCTCCTAGAGACCTCCTAAAACTTGATATAAGGAAAGCTTATGATTCGGTAGGTTGGGATTTTCTTAAAAGAGTACTTGAAGGGTTGCACTTTCCTTTGAGATTTATACAATAGGTTATGGAATGTTACTTCTCCAACATATTCCATAGCTTTGAATGAGAGTATGCATGTCTTCTTGAAGGGTGGGAAAGGTCTTTAGCAAGGTGATCCGCTCTCCCCCTTTTTGTTCGTGCTTTGTCTCAAATATTTTCTAGAATAATTAAGGTTGATGATAGTGAATTCAATTATCATCCCAAATGTGGCCCCTTAAAGATAACTCATTTAGCTTTTGCGGATGATTTGATGCTCTTTGCAAAGGGAGATGTTATGTCGGTGCAAATTCTTATGGATTGCCTTACCAACTTTGATTTTGTATCGGCTTTGAGGATGAACAGTTTAAAATCCAGCTTGTATACAACTGGAATTTATGGATATGAGCTTGATAATATCATGGAGGTCACAAATATCCCGAAAGGTACTATGCCTTTCCGTTACTTAGGTATCCCTCTTGCTTCGAAGAAGCTCAAAGTGAGTTGTTATGCTCCATTCCTAGATAAAATTGTTGATTATATTAGGGCTTGGAATTGTTCATTGTTATCCTATGCCAGTAAGGTAGAACTTATTAGGGTGGTGCTCCAAGGTATTGAATGCTTTTGGCTTTCTATTTTTCCTATCCCGGCTACAATTATCTCAAGAATTGTTAGCCTTGGTTGGAAATTTCTTTGGGGATTCAAGAAACCTTTGGTGGCGTGGAAGGATCTTTGCCTTCCAAAGGATGAAGGGGGCCTCGAGTTGAAAGACTTGAAGAGTTGGAACTTAGCTCTACTTACTAAATCCCTTTGAAATGTCCAACATAAAAGAACACTCTTTGGATACGTTGGGTTCACCAAATTTATCTTAAAGGGATTTGCATTTGGGATGTTCTACTCAAGAAAATCACGCCCCACTCTTCAAAAAATTGCTGGAAATTAGAGATTTATGGCTTAAAATGGATGCTGCCCCCCAGTGTCTCGCACATGGATAGCATGTGTTGCCCGTCCAGGTAAATGGTGGAAACAACCAGTTTGTTAATGTTGTTTTTACCTCAAGTCAGCATACTGGTCTTCCTCAATACAGGGGCCAATTTCAAGGTAATTTAGACAGATTTCAGGGCTGGTCGGCAGGTCAAAACAGCAACAGTTTTCTGGGATTTTTGAACAGTTTTCATGGCTGGTCGACAGGTGAAAAATTCAGCACAAAAATGGCCTATGATTTCTTTAGGCTGAGGGGTACGAAGAAGATTTGGGCTGCTGATATTTGGAGACCTTGCATTACTCGAAAGCACTCCTTTTTGCTTTGGTTAGGAGTTCAATCTAAACTCCTAACGAAAGACAAATTGAATTTTTTGGATATTGATTGTAATTGTATTTTTGGTGGACATATGGCGGAAACGGGATGTCACCTATTCTTTGAATGTTCTTTCACTTCATCCATATGGGGAAATATTAGACAGTGGCTCAGCATTAGGAGATCCATGTCTACACTTGCTAGCACCTTGAAGTGGTTGAAAAAAGATGTTCGTGGGACATCATGGCTCAGCAAGGCTAAGAGAATTGCACTTGCAAGTACCGTATACTACATTTGGTTTGCGCGTAACAGGAAGATTTTTGAAGACCTTTCACCCAACTTGGATTCCATTGTGAGACGAATCAAGACACACGTATACAAAGTTATGTTACTTTGTATCCAGATGTCTTGATCCATTTTCAGTCCTTAGCATTGGGTCATTGACTATTTTTGCACTTCACTTTTGTTGTTTCTCCCGGGTATGCCGGGAGTAATTGTATGTGATATTGGTTTCTGTTTTGTCCGGGTATGTTCGGTGTACTTGTATATGAACAATTTTTATCAATGATATTTATATTTATCGATAAAAAAAAACTCCCACATCCACAACTCCATCTATAGCTAAAACTCAATCGATTGGCCAAACCACCACCATTACCACCATCTCGACAATTCTCCCTCCTTCTAAAACTCAAGCCACGAACCTATCACCGTTGTGGGCCGCTGAGCGGCACTCAGTTGAAGGCTGCACAACAATTAACCCTGTCGACGTGGTATAGAATTAATGCAGAGGAGGGGTGCTCGCGTTGGTTTGTAATTTGCAGTGTGTGATCTGGGAATGACCGGTGGAGGCAATACAAGATTTAGGGAAGGAGACGAGTTGAGTTGGGAAAAACTTGACTAGCGTGTTCTTCATCCTCACTGGCAATCTTCCACGGTAAAATCGTCGTTGATCTCCCACAGTAAAACTGTCGATGGTCTACAAATGGTGGGTCATGAAAATTTCGAGAGATGAGAGTGCGAGTAAGACATAGACATAGATATGCGAGAGAGTTATTTTGATTAATACTTGATTTATGGTCAAATAAGCTTAATATCTATTTTTATAATTGTCATCTTAAAATACTCGTTATGGTGTAATTTTCATAAAGAGAAAACTCATTTTAAAAAATGCTTTTAATATTAGCGACAAATTATCATTTATAACACATTATATGTAATATGAAACCCCTATTATTTTGGGGCAATATCAGGTCACACATCTTGTGTGGCCTCAAGACTGTCCCTACATGTAGAACACAAATAATCGTAAAATTCACTTTTAATATTGTCCACATTGAACATTACATCAATACAAATTATGTACTCGATATGCCTCTTATGAATCATTCATATATCGTCACCGTGCCTCTAAATTTTCTCAAGAACTCTTCACTCATTTCGAATGATAATAACTAGGTTAAATATACAATAGTCTAGCGTCAATAATACACTTGCCTCTGTATCACATGCTATTGTCGAGTTTTAAGTCATTCGGTAATTAAAATTGAGAAGAGGAAAAAAGGAAAATGAAGCTGAAAACCTTCATCTTGCAACTTAAGAAAATGAGGGATGGTATTTTAACTAGATAAATGAAAAGAGAGGTAATTTGCAATTAAAGAAAAATTCATTTACAATTTTCCCTATTGTTGTTCCCAATAATACGACATGTTTTCTGTGACGAAACGTATCCGAGCATAGTTTTTAGATTTGGCCGTCTAGTCCCGACACAATCCATGTAAATTATTTTAGTGGAAGGTTTGAACGTGAACAATTAGAAGCTCGAAAGAAACCAAATTTGTGTGGACCTTGTCAAATTCGATGGCCATGTTCAGGGCCGTATAGTTACACAATGGATTGTGATGGGCTGTGGGCAGAGGATGGGCCTTAATTGGGTGGGCCTAAAAGTGTGAAAATTCTTTTTGGGCGGGCTCACGTTCTTGTATGACCCGATGGGTCGATGACAACTGTTTAATTCATAATTTTCACTACTATTTGCGTTTTAATTCATTTCCCTACTTGTACGTTTGCCAATTATTGAAAACTGTATGCTGTGCTAGAGTTTGGATGATAAATTCGATATCTGGAACAAAATCTGGTGAGCTGAGAATTTTAGGGTTCAGTTAATTTATTTTGCATTCTCATACTGATGTATTTGGACATTTTTAATTAATTGTTATTTTCAGCACAAATTTGACTGTAGTTACGATCTGATCCCAAATTACGATTCCGTACTTCGCCAAACGATCAGAAATAGCGAGTGAAATCGATGATACTGTTGCAGTCGCCCTCCAGATATCTCCTCCAAATCTTGTCTACTCGGGTTCGGAAGTAAGTTCCTGACTTTTTCCTCTTCATTATTTTTTTTTACTTGTTTCTTTATCACTATCTCTTTCTTGATTTCATGTTTACTTTCATTTTCTCGTGAAATATAAATGTAAAGGTAATCCTTTGAAATTTAGACAGTTTCTATGGTTATTTTATGGAGTATATTGTATCTTTTCCGCGTACTAAAATCATTTTTAAAGAGTGATACCACGTTAGCAACTGATGTTAATGGTAGGTTGTACTGGGTTATGAAAATCTGGTGTCTTTGTGGAACCTAATTTAGGTTTCCACTTGTTCCGCTCTCGAATGATTTTATGGGTTTCTGACACATAACTTGGTATATTATGTTGCCATGTTTTCTTTTTGTAAATTAGATTATGTGGTCGGTTCCAAATGAAAGTGGTTTGTGTTTTTGGAACAAATATGTATGCCAGTACATGCGTTACTTGCATGATCTTTAACACATTTACTTATCCTCATTAACGAGCATAAAAAATTTTATTGGTGGTGGTGCAGTCTTGAGAAAGGAGTTGAATTGGATTGCCAGTGGATTGAATTCGATGATGTCCGTTACCATATTCAGGTGATTCATTAGCTTTCAATGTAATTATTTCGTTCAGCGTTTACTGTGGAATGTTATTGCAAGGGCTGCAAACTTCCCTAATTTGATTCCTTAAACTCTTTTATAGGCTTCTATGAAGAATCCAAATCTCTTAGTGCTATCAGTATCATTACCTACACCACCTCCAGAAACTGTGTTTTTCGGGGGACTTCCTCCTGAAGCAATAGAAGCCATAAAGGCAGCATATGGAACGGTTGTACATATTCTTGATCCTCCAAAGGATGGTTTCAATCTCACAGTGAAACTGAACCTGTCAAAACTTCCTCCAGATGAAGGTTCAACTGAGTTACCCTTTTAAGGTCATTATGAGCTTACCATGATTATTCAAAGAGATAAATAATCCATCTTTTGAAAAAGAACCATAGACTTTCTTACCTCTTTCTGGTCCTTCTATCAGATTTAATTACCAGTTGGTTCCACTATTTGTCTTGAAGATTTGCCCATTGACTAATACTTTTATTATTACAATTTGTGGTAGAATTTTTTTTATTATTGATGCCTGTAGGAAACTCTGCTCAGCCAGAATACTGTGGTGTTAACTTTCAGACTCTTGAGTATAACGTGAAATGTATGTTTTGATATTTTCTAATTCTTGCAAGAAGATGGTAAGCATTATTTTCCAACTAACAAAAATTGAGAAGGGCTGTTGAAGCCAAATTTAGCATGCAAACACATAGTGAAGCCTCTAAGTTGATATGAGCTTAGTACCTTGAAAAACCTCTAAATATAATGTCGCAGTATACTGCAACAGTGAATCCCAGTAGGACACAGATGACAAACATAGTTAGAAGGGCTCCAACTTCCATAATTCACAAATATTATAGATGGTGACTTGTTTCTTTTCTGCAAGTTGCTTGATGGTGATATAGTGCTCAGATATAGAAGATGCATGTGGTTTTTTTGAAACACTGGTTGACTAGGTATGCTAAAACAATAGATAAAGGCATTGATTTATGAAGTTCGTAAGCAGAACTTCTTATTACTATAGGTCATAGTCTCTTAGGTGATAACCCCTTTTTTTTTTCTTTTTCTTTTTTTCTTTTTTTTTACCAATTTTCAAAGTAGGTGCTAATTTTCTTGGATTAAGCTAGTTGAGTGTGTACATGGCTGCATAAGCATTTGATGGGTTTGGTATGCATTCTTTCAAAGAGGAGTACAGTAGAGGTGCACTTTACATATGTGAGAAGGATATAAATAAATTATACGTTTGTGTCACTAACCTCCCAACCTTTGTTAGGAGAACAAGCCTCTAGCCACATATCATTAGACAGAAACGCCCAGCATAATCAACTGTAATATCAAAAACTTAATGATGTTAAAGTGATTTGACAGTTTTCCTTCTAAACATCCCACAAGACCTGAATTTCACTGCCGCTCCCATGCCTGAGACTAAGTGACAGCTTCTTATTAGATACCAATGGATCTGTACCACTGGTACCATTTTTCCTATGATGCACCAGCATGGGCACGTTGATGTCATGTCGGACATGTCGACACGTAATTTTTCAAAAAAGTATTGAAACGATATGTCTTTGACTTTCATTTATATAGTATAAATTTAATGTTATTCTTGTCATTAATTTTCATTGTTGAAATTTGTTATTTAATAATAATTTTTGAGTTAAAAAAATTGATAAGAAAAGAAAAATGATCATGTTAGAGTGTCCGAAGAGTTTCGGTATCCGACGCCTACAACATAAATTTTTCCTTTGCAGCAAAATCAATTTTGATTTTAAACGGTCAATAAATTGGATACATCATTTAGGAAATGTTAAATGTCAAATATTTCTTTTTTTAGGGATAAATTAATTTGGCCTTTAATTTGAGAACAGAAGTTGGTATTTCTTTATTAGAAAATTAGCTAATGTTCTATGGAGATTGCTTCAACAGTGAAAATAAATGTGTGCACTCTAACTCTGTGAGTGTGCATGTATGCTTTTGTGTGTAGCGTGCTGTCACATCAAAATTCACCAAGTTATTGAGAGCTATGAGTTGTGTAAAGACAATGTCAATTTCTTTTCCAGTGTTCTAGAAGATTTCGTGAAAGGATTCCCCCATAAACAAGTACAGACATATATGAAGTAAGCAGGCTGAGAATAATTCTTCTGTTTCTTTTCTGGAAAAAAGCCTCTGAGGAGCTGTAAATTATAGGTGGAAGAAGAGACTGCTGATAATTCAGCAACTTAAAAATGAACCTCAATCAGTTTCCAACACACTAGGTATTTTCTAGAAGTCATGCCATAATGTATGAATTACAGATTAGGACCTGCCTCCTGAAATGTAGATCAAAATTGGGGTTCACTGTTATGTTGTCCTGTTGAGTGAGTATGGTCCATTTTCGGACCCAGTACTTCGTTTCTTATTATTCAGAGTTACTATATTCTATTAGTGATTACAAACGTTGGCTAAATCACATTTCTGTGGACTTGACATAGCTTTTCTTTCTGTACTTAAAGAAGGTTTTTGGTTATTCTTTGATTTTAATGACATTCCTTGTTTGTGTAATCAACTATTATCCTGGAGTATACACCATTCAATATGAAGGCACGACTCTTGCCTTGGGATACTTATATGCAACAATGCGTCCATTGCATATATTCGCATCCTTCTTTTCTGACATCATATTGTGACTATTCGATGTTTCTTCTTGCTATTATCTTTGATAGAGCATCGACAAGAACTCCTGGGAAAGATTGCATCTATTAGGGAAGTTGTGCAAGGTGCACCACTGAAATCTGTTCTAAAACAACTTGTCTCAAGGACAGTTAAATCTGAGTTGAATAAGCTTATTTCCCTAGTGCATCGGCCAAATGAATCCTTTTTCGTTGTACCTCAGGTAAATTCTTTTTTTCACTTGACTGTTTCTTTTGGGTCAGAAAAAGGTTTTACCATGTAAAGATTTATCAGTTCCAGCTCTCTATCATTAATATGCTTCAAGTGGTTTTAGAGTGTTCCTAAACATTTATATGTGCACATGTATTTTCCTCTTCTCTGTCTATATCCATACTAATCTGCTCACTGCTTAAATCTATTCTCAATCAGAAGCTAAATAACAACAGTAGCTGTATCACCTGCCCCCCATCACTACTACCACCACAAAAAGTTTTAAGGATAAGGAAACTATGGTTACTTCTTGATTAAAGTACTTGCTCGTTGTGTATGATATTGAGTGCTTTAATGCTATCATATAATGTCAGTTTGAGTTTCTGTGATCACGTCAGAAATAAATATCTTGTTGCCGTTGGTTGCAGGCAGACAAGGTGACGGTGGTTTTCCCCATGAGATTCAAGGATTCTGTAGATAGCATTCTTGCTACTTCTTTCCTCCAGGTACTAAGAATCCTTTACTGGAGATTCGGAACTTTCATTCCTTTGCTTTGTGCCTTTTCTTTTTCCTTAACCCCCCCCCCCCCCCCGCCCC